CTAACCGGTGTCACCTCGATCAATTTAATAAAATAATAATGATGATAAAAAGAAAGAAACCTGAGTTCTAGAAAGATCTGTAACATCTGGGAAAACCTGTTCTAAAGCTTCCAGGTGGATGCGGCTTAGGGAGATTATGAGCTCTCATCATACTCATTTTCAAGCTATTTTGACTTCTTTGCAGGCACTCAGCCCTAAACTACTTAAGTGCGTACAAGAGGCAGATTCTTGCGGACTCCACAAAGCCGTGGCAGGAGTGGGCTGTATATACTCATTTCCTTTAAGTGAAGGCAGATGGAAAAGAAAATTGGAAAGAAAAGTCTGTAAACATAACGTCTGCTGGGAGTAGGGCTGAGAAGTTCAGGATCTTCCAGTTCTTATGTGGCTTTTGTCTGTCTGCTGTTAAATTTTGCAGCGTTTTCTTCTACTTCTGCCATGTGATGTGGGTCACTCACGCCAACCCCCAGGGAGGCAAACACACGGTGGTGTGAAAACGAGGAGGCAGGGATCCTTGAGGGCCCTCGTGGAAGCTGGGGACCGTGCCCTGCACGTAGGACTTAGGCCGTGGCGCAGGGAATTCTAAATGGAGCCGTGTATTTGAGTCAAGTGCGCAGTGTTAGCTTTATGTATGTTTTTGAGAGCATTTAAAACCACTCTGAATAAGAATCGTTGCACGATGCCTTTTCCACACACCAGGATGGTATGTTTATTTAGGAGATATAGCCTCAATTTACGTTCTGTTAGTACAGCTAACCCTTTGATTGAAGGTTGGCTTGTGCCCTGGCCATCAAAGAGCCGATTGTGTGTGTCAGAGGGATAGACTGCCTTGGCGGCGCTGGGCTTTGGTCTGCCACTTCCTGGCCTGGTAGACACTGCTTGGTTTTTCCCCCCATCAGCCTTTAGGCTGTGCCTGCACACCGCCTGGAGGTGTCTTGTAGATTTTATTGCTGCTCCTTGAATTGTATTCTTTATCACTCACAAGGCCTGTCATTGTAGTGTGTAGTGCTGCCTGACCTGGTCTCGCCATGAAGCCACCGTCCCTTCTGCCTGCCGCTGACCCTGACAGCATTTCATCAGCTGGGCTTCTCCTGGAGTCCTTTGGATCTGTGAGCATCTCATGAACATTAAGAGACACACCTTGGCAGCTGTCTGTCACAGTGTGCATCTCATGATCTAAATGTTCCCCAGGACCTGTAGGATAAAATGCATGCACCCGTGCTAATGGCTGCTTCTGTCCTAGCCATAGAAATTCTAGTTTCCATTGTCCCCGTTTGGGGTGTTCGACTCTGGACCAGACTTAGACCTGTCTTAGTTTCCCTTCTGAGAGCTTGCACGCTAAGGTGAAATGATAAACAGTATCTGTAACCACTTGCCTGTCTTATTTTAACAAATATTGTTGATGCCTAACATTTATTTTAAGCTTTTGTCACTTTAAATTCACTTGCTTATACTTCTCAACCCCCTCCCTGCCCCAATACACATACATTTAGTAGGGTAGGAGCATGGCATTAACACTTTGTATCTGTTTCGGGGCATTTGTCTTTTTGGGCACATATTGCAGTTATTCGAGAGGCCTTAATAGATTCTGCAATAAGCTTATAAACTGCTGATGTTGGAATTTGTGCTTGGCTCATCTTTTTGTCTCTTGTATCTTCTTATGCAGTGCATAGAACATAGTAGGTGTTTTATAAGCATTTGTTGTAAGGATGAATAGCAACAGTATCCTAGACGGGGTAGACTGTCACTTTGACCCATTGCTGAGTCACTGCGGTGCTACAGGGAGATCTGGAGGACGTCCGGGATACTGCCTGGCCTGGGCAGGATGTCAGAGCTGTCAGACGACTTGCACCTGGAGTCTGAGGGTCCCATTCCATTGCTGGACCCCTTGGCATAGGCCGACTTGTCTTTCAGACTCAGCCTTAAATACTCACAAAGCGCTGTAACTTCCTTAAGCGGCCCCTGACCTGGATTGTAAGAATGGCGGCACCACCATTGTGACTGGATGTTCCCTTCGGCCTAATCAATGAATCCAGTGTTTTGGACAGAGGGCATCGCAGAACCATCCTCAGGGATTTGGCCAGGGACAGGAAGTGGGGAAAGCAATTAGTAAGGATGGACATTTAAAAATGCAAGTGCAAGGAACCTGATCAGCACAAAGGATTTTCTATAATTAAAAAAAAAAAAAAAAAGGAATACACATGTATCTTCTCCCAAAGGTCCTAAAATTGGTTATTGATGGGGGATCCTTCTTGCTCACCACTCCTTCTCTGTCGCCGACCACCCTCAAAGACTGAGCTAGGCTAAAATCTAGGTGCCTTTTCTAAGTTTTAAAAATAGTAGCACCATGCTGCTGTGGTCCCATAAAGCTGTATTTTCACTGTCGTCTCTAACTTATAATAGTGCTTGGTAATTACATGGTGCTTTCCATCTGCAAGTCTGCAAACACATTATAAATGTTAACTCTTTAATTCCCCCCAACACCTTGCGGAGAGAAGGGGAGATTGCATGGTGCCTTTGGGGCTGAGCTGTTCCTTTGGCCTGGCTGTGTCTCATCGAGGTGGTCTTTCCTGGATGTGGGAGAGCTGGTGAAGCACCATCTGCTCTTAAGAATGACGCTCTGTGCTGCCAAACGAAAAACTTGACGTTTCCATAGAAGCGAGGACCTTGTGAATAAGGCTGCTGCTGACGTGAGCCAGCAGACGCCCCCAGTCTCTGTAGTTCGGCCAGTTGTTACCGTTTTGATTACAGATTAGATTGCTAGAATCATTGGAAAATATTTTGTCTGTTAAAGGACGCAGGCTTTTGTTCCTGACATTTAAAAGGAGAAATTCATGACTGCTTCTTTGGCAGTAATCTTTGTGGCTCTTAATTATTTGTTTTAAAAAGTCATTTTTTTCTAAATCTGTGTTATTCCCTCCTTTTGCACCCTTAAGAATGGAATATTAAATAACTTTGAAATGTATACTAGTGAATTTCAAAAGCCAGACTAGACTTTAAAGAGCCTTATGGAGCAGAACAAAATAATTATTGTACAGTTTTTAGTTTCTTTAGCTTTCATTCATTGCTTCAGTTAACCAATGTGATTTCAATTTATTATGCAAATGTGACAATTATTCCATTAAGAAAATCTGTTAGAAAGATTACGTACTTTGTTTCTCCAGCCCAATAAATTGTGCTGGGTATTTCATTTTTGCCTTTTGATTTGTTATTTTGTCTTTAATGACAACTCATTTAAAGTAAAAGTCTTTAAAGCGGCAGAATAATGCGATAACATGTCTTCACTAGTAATTTAATACTTGGATATAATGAGTTCATCTGAGAGATTTCATTGGAAACAGCAAGGTGCCTGAATACCAAAGCTGAGATGTTTTTAATCACAGAATTATAGTAATTATACAAATCCCAAGATTTTCATCAGACAGAAAAGGCTTCCAGGGCTAAACAAGCACTTTAAGCTTAGCACTAATGACTGTATTGTTCTCAATTATACAAAAGAGAATCCACAGGCCAAAGGGAATATTGGAGAGGATGTTATGTGTTGAATTTTTAAGGAAAATGAAGAAATAAACTACTTTGATAACATAATGGTATCTGTAAGAGTCACATCGCCAGGGTAATAAGGGAGACCCTCATGGGAGGCCATGGTATATAGCAGGTACATTCTTAAGTAGTCAGTGAGCCTTTATTGTTTACTCTATTGTCGGCATAGAGAGAATGCTAGAAGGAATATCTCTCTCTTCTCCCAGGGGTCCTGAAGTTCCTAATTCGCTGGAGCCCTTCTTCCAGCAAATGCGTCAGACCACCAGCAAATGAGATGATTATTGGCCCAGAATCTGGATTTCTGGGTTGGGTGAAGACTTTGTAAAGAATAATTTAGCTATCATGTGGCTTATTGAAAATGTGAAATTTGTATAAAGAGGTTAGGACATGGTACCCTCAGGGAGCTTGTTTTTAAGTGAAGTGATAGAAGAAGATGCATCTAGAAAGATTTAATAAAGCCTCTCTAAGCAAGACATTTTATTTGATCTGCTTTCCATTTATCTTTATTTTTTCTGGCTCAGGTAGGTATTGAGGAAAGAAGCAGCACTGGGCTGTGGCGATGTCCGTGATGGGTGGGGGAAGGAGGAGGGACGCCTGGGGAAGCGGGAAGGGCGAGTCAGGTTGACTCATGTGTTACGGGCGTTTGGAGTTGAGGGCAGAGCGTGTAGTCAAATGGAAGGTTATCCGTCTGGGTGCTCCTGATGAGTGGTCAGGACACAGAATTTCTCCTGGAGGCTGGAGCAGAGTCATGCCTGGGATTGGAGTCCTGACGAGACAGTATGTCTGGTCTCTGTTCATCTCCCAGCCCCGTCCCTTTCTATGGTCAACTCATCAGCCCCTGTCTGCAAGCAGAAGTGGAGAGTTAGCTGGAACAACTCTCCCCTGACTCCTTCTGACTATGTTACTGTTCACACTTATTATTTGCATACTTGAGCCTCCTGCTGCATCCCTACCTCCTCATCATAAGCCTGAGGACCATTTTGAGCCAGCTTTGAGCCCTGACCTGAGTGAGTGCGCACAGGTGAGCCCAGGCAGCCTCGCCTTTTGCAGCCACCCTTGCTGGGCAGACCAGACCAGAGAAGTCCCTGCCTGCAGTTTTTAATGTCATTGAAGTTTTGCTTTTTCCCTTTTAACCATCAAAATAATATGTGCCATTGGAATATTTGCAAGATACAGAAAGATGTAGAGAAACAGAAAAATCATCATTAATCCTTCTACCCAGAGAGAATTCACATTTTGCCACATTTCCTTCCAGTCTTTTTTCTGTGTCCTTCGTTATTTACAGGCATTACTCTGCAAATGCATATTTGCATTCTGATTTACAAACATTTAACAATATTTAATCACCTGTCGTAAGCATTTTCCATAAACCTCACGGGCAATCTATTGAACATTGATTCCCATGGTAAACATAAGGGTATTCTTATCTTAAGTATGATTGTCATTTGGTCTCTTCCTAGGTCCCCTGTTGTCATCTGCTGCATATTTGGAAGGCTACGATGGGTACGAATGTGAAAATTTGGAAGTTTCAGCTAACTCGTTGCTTCTGCCTGGAAGACCATCCTTTAGAAGTAGAAAAAGAGCTCCACGTGGCGATCGACTCCAAGAGACAAGACGTGTTGTAGAAAGAAATGGGTGAAGGCAGCTCAGGGGGCCCCAAACGCGTGCTTCCTGTGGTCTAGTCCAGGGAAGCCCTCCCGCGGGGCCGTGACCGTCTGGGATGTCGCCAGTTCTGGACGCATGGCTGATTCCTGAATGAGGATGGTTCGCCGGGGGCTGCTTGCGTGGATCTCTCGGGTGGTGGTTTTGCTTGTACTTCTCTGCTGTGCCGTCTCTGTCCTCTACATGCTGGCCTGCACCCCCAAGGGCAACGAGGAGCAGCTGGGGCTGCCCAGGGCCAACGGCCCCACGGGGAAGGAGGGGTACCAGGCCGTCCTGCAGGAGTGGGAGGAGCAGCACCGCAACTACATCGGCAGCCTCAAGAGGCAGATCGCGCAGCTCAAGGAGGAGCTGCAGGAGCGGAGCGAGCAGCTCAAGAACGCGCAGCATCACGCCAGCGACGCGGTGGGCCCGGGCGCGGGGCGCGGCGCCCCCGGGCAGGCCCAGGCCGACCTGCTGGCCTTCCTGCACTCGCAGGTGGACAAGGCGGAGGTGCACACTGGCGTCAAGCTGGCCACCGAGTATGCCGCAGTGCCTTTCGATAGCTTCACCCTGCAGAAAGTGTACCAGTTGGAGATGGGCCTGACCCGCCACCCTGAGGAGAAACCCGTGAGGAAAGACAAGCGGGATGAGTTGGTGGAAGCTATTGAGTCAGCCTTGGAGACCCTCAACAGCCCTGCGGAGAGCAGCCCGAATCAGCATCCTTACACCGCCTCGGATTTCATCGAAGGTTGGCGGGTTTGGGGGTTGGGGTAGAAAGCAGGAGAAAGGGCATCTAGGTCCCGGCACCCGGGCAGGTCCCGGCTGCCGGGGGCTGGCAGCGAGCTCTGGGGAAGGCTGGTAGAAAGTTTTATGTGAGCGACACCAATGGTATATAGCATGTTTTTTATTTTTCAGAAACATCTGTTTCCACTTTCTCATGGAAACCACAGTCATTGAGTGGACAGATTCATTGTTCCTTGGCAGAAGAAAGTAGAACTTCTTGCTTTCATTTAAAAAAAAAAAAAAAAAGAAAGAAAACAAAATGTAAACATAAAACTTTGAAACCCAAGAGGAGTATGATAGGCAGTTTTAATTGATCCCTTCTCACGGGCACTTCTCTCCTGGAGATCGGCCCATGAACAGAAGGATAGTTAATGTGTCATATAGCACTTACATTGGCCAGTCTCTATTCTAGGGACTTTACACTCACTAATTCACCTTTTCCTCATAATGACCCCATTAGTGGATATAAGGAATTAGACGTTCAAATTAAGTAAATTACCTGAGGTGACAGGGCCAGGATTTGATTCCACAGCCCTTAACCACTAGGTTATATAGTCTAGGTGGGACCTAAGGAGCACATGGAAGCCAGTGAGATGAATGACTGAGCTTATTTTTATAGGCACAGAGCAACCTAGTATTAATTTGTGTTCGACTGTGTCCAACTTCAGAAGAAAGCAGCTTGTCTAGTTTTTTTGGAAGACTCGTTAGTATCGTGTTCCTTATCAATTATCCCATTGTTACCGGTTCAGTATCAGCTAATAATTTGGGAGAAGTACCTTCGAAGGCATGCACCTGTTTCCCCTGTCTCTTGATAGACTCCAGTCCAGCTTCCCAGACATGCCGCCGTGTCCACATTCCCCCACTCCCTCCTCTGGTTCTCTAACCACCATCTCACCAGCCTGCAGGCAGGACGGGCTCTCTTTAGTTGTAGCAGAAACCCTCCCACTGCTATTTATGCCTGTTCTCTTGGACATTTTCCTGTCTTAGGACTTTTTCCACTTTATATGTGAACCATAAATTCATGCAATTTTGCTATAGTATCATTTTTCATATACCTAGAGCCAGGTAAAGAAATTTTTTACAAGACCAAGCTTTTTGGTGTCAGGGTTTGGTTTTTTCCCTCACTATATGAGGTACTCAAAATGCCTCGCACATTCGGCAGCTGCAAGTGTAAGCTTACGGTGAGCATTCAGAGTTCTAAATATGAGGATGCAGCATCAGATTTTATAGTTTTAGAGCTTATGAAACATTTACACATATATTATCTTACTAGCTGACCCCCAGGGAAATCATTAAACATCCTTAAGAAATGAATTCTGGTTGCCACTGGCCCTGGAGTATGCTGCAAAAGCCACCCACATGCAAAGCAATTTTAAAAGGACTAGATTACAGATCAGTGCCTATAATTTGGGATGTTTGCCTTTGTGATTTTTTGGTTCTTGTTTTTTTAAATATGTTTTTATTGATTTCAGAGAGAGGAAGGGAGAGGGGGAGAGAGAGAGAAACATCAGTGAAAGAGAAACACGGATCGGCTGCCTCCTACATGCCTCTTACTGGGGATCGAGCCTGCAACCCAGGCATGTGCCTGACTGGGAATCGAACTGGTGACCCCCTGGCGCATGGGAGGGCACTCAACTGAGCCACACCGGCCAGGCTACCTTGTGATTTTTAAACTGCATTCATAATTGAAATCTCCGTCTGCTTTTCTGATACAGCATCTTAATACATAAGGACTCTCGTTCTTGATCAGCAGTAGCATAGGCCTCTTGTCCCTGAGTTTATTTGCCCTGAGATACAGCTGGCTTTCTGCCAGAGGCACGGTAGTCATGGCCGTGCAATGTTGGCTTCATGCGCGGCACACGGCCTGTGTTTTACAGCAGAGGCATCCACGCATACCTTCCAGATTTGCTGCAGGTCTAGTCAGCTGTTTCCATAGGGTGAGTAAATAGGCTCGAGCACTTGAAATATACAGGGGTGGGTAAAAGTAGGTCTACAGTTGTGAGTACATGAAACACAGAGTTTATTCTTGTGTTATTATTTATTAATTTTTGTATTTTCCATACACACAGCTGTAAACCTACTTTTTCCCACCCCTGTATTTATATATATTGGACTGTCATAAAAAGCCCGGTTTATTTCATTTTTTCACTCTTGTCACAGAAGACTGTGGAGACCATCTTTTATACTCTCAGGAAACGGGGCATTGTGAAAAATGCCACTAGTCAGAGGAAGTTGCAGGAAGGCAGAGATAAATTCAGTGTAAGGAGTAATTTTCAAATAGTGATGTTTTAGAACAAAGTGGGACTTCTGGGACTACAAGAATTAACTGATAGCTCCTTGGCTAGGTGGCTATAATTCTGATTCTTGCCTCAGAGAGGCAGTTGGACTGAATGACGTTTGAGGACCTTTTTAATCCTGATTCACGATTCTCTGATCTACTCTAGTTAAGGAGAAAGAAGGGACTGGAAAGGGTCTGATTTGAAATCTGTTTTCTACAATGACTTAGAACAAGTGATGGGACCTTATAAGGGTGAAGTATGTCCTTAAAATATCTTGCGTTTCTAAACATAACCTTTGAGAAGTTAATTTTGTGTTTGGGGAGTTGCTAGTAGTCCAAAAGTTGGGCAATTAAGTCCATGGGAAAATTTTAGGTTACTGGCGGGATGTTCCAGACTCTCAGAGCTTTAAACGAAGGTGATAGACTGAACCCTGAACTAGTACAATAAACATGCGGATTCTTTGTGTTTAAAGAAATGATAATAAAAACCCTTGGAATGCTCCCAGATGATGATAGTTACGTAAACTTAAAGCTAACTGTGAGGCAGGTGGCATGATGACCTGAGTGTGGGAAACCGTGTGACTTTGACCAACACCCTTAAGCTCCTCGAGGCTCGGTTGCCCCGTCTGTCAATAGGAGGCTGAACTTGGGTGTCCTCCCAGGCCCTACCCAGCCCCAGCCTTCTGCAAAATATAAAGCACTGCTTTGACTTCGTTCCTTCTTAGCTTTGCCAAGCAGCCACCCCTGAGGGATGCTCTGCCACCCACTCTGCTGGTTGACCGAGGACATGCCACCCACCCTTTGGGATCTTCCTCTATAAAAGGAGGTATTCAGATGGGTGGTTTATAGTCTGGTCTCACTGTGGCCACTTTCTGCAGTTCTGTGATGCTTGCGGAGGGAGAGTACCACCTTGATGACTGTCTAATTTATTATCTATATTGCTTCAATTCTTACGGATCTCTAAAACACAGAGGGGACATTTGTCTCCTTTCTCTTTCCCCAGATGTTTCATTGGCACTGATTTTTGTGTTGGATTCTCGCACGAACTTTTTTACAACCATCTGGGAAAAGAAGTTAAAGTAGAAAACCGTGATCAGATTCTGTGCCTTAGGAGCCTGTTTATCAACTCAAGTCAACAGAAACTCCTTCTTTATGTTTGTGGATTAGTTGTTCCTTCAGTGTGGGATAGACAGCCTCTGAGCAGCACAACTTTTGGCTTTAATTTTATATTTTTAAACACAGCTCTTGGACATGAATTTGATGTCATTCCATAAAACAGTTTAGCTTTCTGAATTATTCCTCCATTACAATCCAAACATCTGGTAATGTGAATCCCGTGTGAGGCATTTGTGTTGACTGTCTCCACGGGGTTGCTCTTCTGTCACCAGCCTGTGCAGCTCACCCCGCCCCCCTGCAGCTTTTGCAGGGTTCATGGTGGCAAGAGAGGGTCTGATACTAGAAGACTTGATTTTGGGGGTGAGATGGAGCCAAGCCATGATCCACAAGAAGCTGAAGGTTTTTGAGGGCACCCTACGGATGATATGTTGTAAAGCAAGGGGATATAGAAATAATAGCTGTAAAACCTTAGTAACTGTCTGTACAGTAACCCCGACCTTCTGTGCTCAACAGCCAAGCCCTCATGCTTTCTGGGGAGCTAAGGCAAGGCATGAAGATACTGTCTTTGACTTCCATTGTTTATGTCTCATCATAATCTCTAAGGGACACCCTGTGACCATTTGGCTAAAGATTTTTTTGACAAGTCAAATCCAGTTCTGGGTTCTGGGTGCTTGGGGACATGGTCCTTGGGACTCTGCGGATAGGAAATGGGCCCTTTCCTCAGCGTGCATTTCAGTGATGTGCTTCTTTGTCAGCAATGCTGTGATTTGAGGTAGGTAGAAATGGTTAGGCGGGCATGCACATGCATTCCTGCCTCTGGGGAGCTCGGTGCAGAAATACAGGAGAGCGGGGTTCTGCACCGTGGAGGGGCCTACCCTGCGTTTGGAAGAGAAGGCAGTGCGGGGAGACTAGCTGGCAGGCAGGACAGCGGGGGACGTCAGGTCCAGAGATGGGCCCCGGGTGAAGATTAAAAAAAACACACCTTTTCATTTTGAAATATTTTAGAATTATGGAAGAGTTGCAAAAATAGCTCAGAGAGTTCAGTTCCTGTATATCCTTCACCCAGCTTCCCCTATAGTCAACATTTTATATAACGGTACAATTTTCCAAACTAGGAAGGTAACATTGGTGCAGCACTTAACAAAATTATGCCTAGGCTTTGTTTTGTCTTGTCATCGTCTGTCTCCCACTTGGTGTTCTCTGAACTTCTTAGATCTGTGGTTTGGTGTCTGTCATTCACTTTTGGAAATTCTGAGCCAGGGTTTCTTCAGATTTCTTCTCTCTTTGCTGGAATGCCAATTACGTGTATGTCACATTGCTTGACATTGCCTCGCAGCTCTTGGATCTTCTGTTTCTCTGTGTGTTTTCATATTTTTTCTTTTTGCGTTTTAGTTTGGGTAACTTTTATTGACCCACCTCAAGTTAACTGATTCTTTCCTCAACAGAGAGAGACCACTGATGAGTCCATCGAAGGCATTCTTTATCTCTTTTGCTGTGTTTTTAATTTCTAGCATTTCCATTTGATTCTCATGATTTCCAACTCTCTACCGGAGTTACCCATCTGATCACAC